TTTATATTGCAATAATTTCACATTCAATCTTCAAATTAATGTACAAACAACATAAATACAGTATATTTTTTTATATTTGTTTAATGGCATCTTTTTTATGACTGAAGGCCAGTATCAATGATACCAATACTGATTTCGCTATAAAATTGCAAAATATAATTACGAAATATAATTGAGAACTATAAATTTTAACACTTATTAGACATTAAAAAATAACTTCTAATTTAAGTGAACTTAAAACAATCTTCACATAAACCCATTATAATAAATGTCATATTTACATGTGCCCTTCAGCAGAAATATACAGAAATTTAAATTGAAATTATCAAACACTAAATTCTAAATTAAATATAGATGAATCCTTAAAGCTATAAAAGTTTTTCTTTCCTCTTTTTTTTTTCTTTTGTTCTTTGATTAAGGTGATTGTTCTTTGATTTTGGTTCTTTGACATCACGGCAGCTGGTTATTGTTTTGGCTGCTATTTCTTCAAGAGCTGCCGCTGCTGAACGTGAGGCGGATCTTACACGCATCATAGTTTCTCTCAACTCTTTTTACCTTTTCTGACACACTTCAGGTCTTAAAGTCTCTATTAATGAGCTGACGAGTTAAATCGGGTGTGTTAGATGAGTGAGACAGTGCTGGGCTGCTCCAGGACAGTTTTGAAAACCATTTCAGTGACATGTTCTTAAATGTGACTCATTAAAATATATTACATGCATGCACAGTTTTAAGGCAACTTTAATCGCCTTTTTGGTAACTTCATGACTTAACCCTCTAAGCGCCAAAGTCGCAAAATTGCGACAAGACGTCATACTTAATCAAATAGACTGTAGTTCCTAATATGGTGTAATATATCATTTGTATTCCCTACCACTAGATGGCAGACATGTAGTACTTCGATTCTAGACCAAAATTACGTCATGTTCCTATTCAAAGTACTTAGGAGTCGTTATCCGTTTGTCAAGTGCTGAAATGTCACCTCATAGAATGGCTAGTAATTGTAGTACACGCTCGTTTATTGAAATGTTAACCTAATGCTGCTTTCCAGACAACTCGGATATAATTATTATATTATATTATATTATACGTATAATATTATACTTTACATAAAGTGGCCAACCTTAGCCCCGCCCCTGCGTTAATTGCTTTAAATATTTTAACGCGTTAAACTGAAAAAATGAATCACCTGCGTTAACGCGCACTAAGCGTCAGTATGTGACGAGTTGGAGTGAGAACGTGTTGTTTCGTCGGAGGGAGGGGCGGAGTGTATAGCTGACCCAGCCACTAACCCAACGGCTGGGTAACAGAAAAACTACCCAGCATTAGAAAAAAATATATATAATTTTTGAGTTGTAACTAAACAATGTTGTTTAAAAGAGATTAAATGACATCGATTACTGACAGGTCATCAAGGTGCTACAACATTAAATAAGAGTACAGGCTAACAGATTACCACCGAGAAGCCATAATAAAATGAAAAATATAAAGACTCGTGGTTTAATGTCCAATGAACAATGAAAAGTGCCTGTTTGTCCCTATATAGCCTACTGATTTGGTTCATATCGACCGGAAAAACACGAAGAAGAAACCTTTTTGATTGTTATAGATTTTATTAACTGCATCTGATATTTTAGCTTTATCATTTAAAGTACCTCTGTTTGCAGATGCACGAGAAGCCCCGGGATGATGAGTTTATCTGTATTTATCAGCGAGGGCTGCAGACAGAGCCGCAAGGAACTTGTCCACGGCCACGTGCACTTCTGCGGTGAAGTCAGCGGGGAAATGAACTGCAAGAGTCACGAGGATGTTATGGGACAGAATCTGAAAAAAATAACCCAAAAAGTAGTAAATGAACAGTTAATGCACTATGAATTAATAGTTCACATTCTATTTCATATTTTTGATATCTCACATTTAACTCAGTAAAGCTCCATCACTCTTAAAAATAAAGGAGCTTCACGATGCCATAGAAGAACCTTTTTGTCTAAATGGTTCCATAAAGAACCTTTTGAAGCACCTTTATTTTTAAGAGTGTACCATGATTTAGGTGTGTCACATTAGGTTAACACCTTAAAAGTAGGCCTACTCAAGTAAATTAATTGAAACATTGCACAAACAGCACATTAGCAAGTATCTTACCTTGAAGTTTACTGGATCTAGGTGAACCTTGGCATGGAGATTACTCAAGGAGCTCAGTCCACCAATAAGATCATCCATTTTGACCACAGCATCAGTGATGGCTGCCATCATATTTTTTTCCATGTTTCTTCACTTGGGCAGAGCCGAGAGAATAATCAGGCCAATGAGGAAAATATATTTGAGTCTGAGGGTAGACAGCAAGCATTCTGTGGGAAGGAGAAAAATCAGTTTGTGTTTGTTTTGACAAAACTGTTTCTACATTGATTTATAAGTCTCAAAAATGAATTTAAATGTGGAGCTCTTACCTTCCCAGAGCTTCTTGGCCTATGGCGTCGGCCTTACTAGAGATTTTACCCCAGAAGGCCTTGACCACATCTTTATCCTTAGCTGTCAAACTCATTTTCCGATCTTTTCCACCTTGTTATTACAAGAGCAGAGTTTTAGGTGTAGGATAAGGGGTCTTTTATAACGCGCAGTGCTGCCACACCCAACAACGCACCAGCTCCACCTCTCAGACTTCAGCCAATAATTACAGACAAATTTGGTCAAATAATTAATTTAGCTGCTTTTATCATCTATCTATCAAAACAGCAATGTAATATATCCTACAATAATTATAAGAAAAACAGTAAGCCTACTCTATCAAACATATTAATTTACTGAAGAATTGTGACAACTCTTACAGTTTAAAAAAAAGTTGCATAAATAATGTATTGAATGCCTTGGCTGTTTTTGTCTGAAATAATTATTATTAACAACAGATTTATCTGAACAATTTCTATTCAGTTTACTGCATGTATGACACATACTTTAGGATTATTTGGGGACACCAAATGGCACCTAAAGGGTGGAGCAACTCAAAAAGAACAGGACATCCATGCTTATCACAGTTTATTCAGAACATTTTGAAACGGGAGGAACGTGTCTAAATGTCAAGATAAAGCCAAAGAGATGTCATCCGTTCACCTATTAAAAATTTGAATGCGTTTGTTTGAGTTAATTTAACGTTAATTTCATATGGACGCCTATAGTGTCAATAGCTACTGTGGTTTGGATTTATATCAATCTTAACACAAAGCCTTTATTCGATTTTTTCGTGGCATGCATAATACTCAAGGTCCATTCGTGATTTTGATGATTGAATCCACACTTATTTGAAGATGTTTGAAATTTCGGACAAATCTAACTTCGCAGTTTCTAATCAAAATGTAACATTAACTAGGATCGGATCCAACTAGGTACCACACATAGCCAATCAGTCTTAGCGGCTGATGTGGGGCGGAGAACGCAAGTATAAATAAAAACTCCGCGCGCATCTATCTATGTTCAGCAGCATTCACACTTGTTGAAAAAGTAAAGAGATAATCACAATGGTGGAGTGGTCAGATTCCGAGCGCAATACTATTGCGAGTGTCTGGGGCAAAATTAACGTCGGTGAAATCGGACCCCAGGCTCTGGCAAGGTAATTTAACAGTGTGTAAATGATGATATACACAACATGTTGTTCATTCAGTGGTGCATTTTGAACAGACATTGGATTTATGTATTTTCATTGTTTCTCATGGCAGGGTGCTGATTGTATATCCCTGGACTCAGAGGTATTTCGGTTCCTTTGGAAACCTATCCAGTGCGGCTGCAATCCTGGGCAATCCCAAGGTGTCAAACCATGGGAAAACTGTGCTAAATGCGTTGGAAAAAGCTGTGAAGAACTTGGATGGCATCAAAGGCACTTACTCTTAGCTCAGCCAGCTGTACTGCGACAAACCTGTCCTGCTCGAGATCCCTGCCTCGATTCAATCATGATTCAGTGCATTAAAGATTTCAAAAAGTATGCCTACAGACTAATAAAGCACTTAATCAAGGGATGGATTTTTAGTCTTTTATCAAGTCAGTTAACTAAGGACCGTCACATCAGAAAAACGCAGATGTTCTAGGAGTATTCGATCATTTCCTTTTACAAAGCCACTTAGCTTCGGAAATGGGTATACAATAAACCAAAAGAGAACCTGATTTTAACCGCTACAATAACCTAACTTATATATAAATATATA